CAGATTTTCTGAGATGTAGTGAGTCTGGAACGGGATCCACTCAGCCTCGTGAGGATAATTGAGGAACTGCTTGAATGAAAAAGTAGCGGCTCTGGCCTAGAAAACCGAAATTGACGGCCTTGGAGATTCGTGGCTCTGTCCTCTAAAGTGGACACTAACTTCTCCCACAAGCGGCCTAAAAAGGATGGCTGTATCCCAGTGACAGGCATGGAGGCCCATAGGGTTGTGAGATGTTGAGGTTCCCACTTTTTGTAGACAATCGGCTCATAGATGGCGGCAAGGTTGTCAGTCGTACGCCCCGGCTCCCATTACCTCTCAGAAAGATTCCTGGTACTCATTTCCGTTAGAGGCTGAGTTGACACCAGGTCCATAGTACGGCTTAAAGGATTAGGTCAATTGAAAAATCCACCTCATCGGGATTCGATCCCGCGACCTTCCGGCTTGTAGCATAGTGCCTCAACCAACTACGCTACCGCGTGGCCCCAGAAGGATTAAGTAAATTGAAAAATCTACCTCATCGGGATTCGATCCCGCGACCTTCCGGCTTGTAGCATAGTGTCTCAACCAACTACGCTACCACGCTTCGACAATACAGCAACCAGAGTACTTTCTTATTTTTTATTGCTAGTGGGGTGGGACTAAGTTCCTTGTACTGCGGCCACTTCTGGCCTATTGTACCAACCCCACCTGATAGGTGAGGGTGATAGTACTCGGAGAAAACCTGCCCCAGCGCCATTTTGTCCACCACAAATCCCACTTGACCAGACCCGGGATGGAACCCGGGCTGCCGCGATGGGAAGCCAGCGACTAAACGCTTGAACTATGGCACGGCCCTTTGCCTTTGGCTTACTCTTCGTCTCTGAAGGTGCTGGTAGTAGTTTCGTCGGAAATATCGGTACATTTCTACAGATTATAGCGCTCTTCATAGTCACCCCACTGAGAACCTCAAATCCCACACGCTGTAAAATTGCTTCCCTGTAGGAAACAAGGTTAATCAATGAATATTCGGAGCGCTTGTAGGCGTTGCCATTACAAATCACGCGTTACTACCTTCCTTTCTTTGACAGTGACCGATGTGATTTCTGCCTGCTGCAAGAAAATAGATAGTTGCCGTGGTGTAGGGTAGTGACACCGCTACATTCATCCTCGGGAGGTACCAAATTTCCCCATCGTAACACACACATCATAGCACTACCGCGACACAAATACTGAGAGGTGTGACCTGGGATTATAGGTACGCAAAGGTAAAGGTAAGGTAAAGTTGTCCCTATGGTTAACTAATTAAGCACTATGCAATGCAGACGTGTGAGAGAACGGAGGTACAGCTCCCTGGGTTCTTAACTTCGCCACAGGACACAGAAGTCAGCTTCACTGTTTCGCGAAGAGACTCTGGTACTCACTGGCTATAAGATATGGTGGACCTCAGAGACGGACTGAATGCTGTGGAGAACAGAAATGCTCTTGCTCTGCCTGGAGTCGAATCCCGATTCCTCGGTTACCCAGCACGTAGACTAGCAGCAGTTCCGACTGGGCTATCCTGGCTCCAAATAAGCCTGCACTGCGTAGTATTATTACTGTTATTACTGTAAGAAAAAGTAGCCAATTTGAAAAGAATTTTAATACTTGTAACAAACATAAAATAAGCTGCAAAGGGAATAAGAACAGATTCGTTCGTTGCTATTTCGAATACTTCATTCACACGGGCGTCGCCAAGCAGGCAGGAACTTAGCATACGAACATACGTTTCAGCAGTTTAGTACTACTTCTGCTGATCGCTCTAGAGTATTCGGGATATCAGAGCATTAAGATAATTTTTGATATTAATATTTCATATTGTCACGTGATGGGTTGTGTCTATAGACGGGATTTGGATCGGTAATCTGATTTGCTGGACACTTTGTTACAGCTCGTGACTACCCTTTACAGTTAACTATTACACACACGCTAGTGTCCACAGTCACATATTCACTGTCGTTGCTTGGTAGCGGCTTTAAATGGCAGATGTTACCCTTCCTCTGGGCTCCCGTACTGTCCCTTGTCTCCTCTACCAGCGTCTAAGAGCAAAAGCTCACAACGACTGAACCCCAGCTAACTAACTGAAATTGTTAATTGGTCCTGGGTATAAAAAAAAAAAAAAAACTGATGTCGGAAGCAGCGTCATCAGCAGCGACTTGAAGCACAGAGCAAATGATGCTCGAGATGGTTCAAGTTCGTATAGCAACAGGCGTGACCAGAGTGGTTTGAACGGCTGTTGTACTGCGATGTGGAAAGCAAATGGAAAAACTACCACATTATCACTTTTCCTGGATAGTCTCTTTCCAAAAACAGAAGATCGCATTAAGTGGAGAAACTGTTTTGGAAGAGACTGTGGACCTGTCGTCTGACAGATTACTGATGATGATGATAACACCTCGACACGGACCGTGTAGGAAACATTTCTTCCATTATTGCTGTATTCTCTCGTTGCTTTAGAAACATGCTTGTTTGTGGAGCCGTTACTTAGCAATGGCTGTTTTATAGTTGTTTGATTCGCTGTCCTTGCCTAGCAACAGGTGTACACGCCACAGCATATTTCTCAATCTGCACTTGCAAAGTTTCTGTCACCTGGGATATAACACCTTGTCACCCGTCAAAAAACTATGCTTGCTCCCTGCTTGACGTTTGTTTCTTGCTGGACTGGTTCTTCTTGAACTAAAATCCTACTTGCCGTTGCAAACTTACTAGTATATTTCTGCTGATTCACTGCACGCAATCAAAAACTATTTTTGGTTCATCTTTAGTTATTCGCCATAGGCTATCAGAAAATATTTCAAATAGATGTCAAATAGATGTGTTCCCTTCTTAGCTGCGAGCTAAGAAGGGAACACACATCACAGGACACGGTTTACACAGAATATAAGAAAAACGACCCCCATAGTGGAAGAACCACACGCAAGTTTTAATTAAGAGACATAAGATGAATAATCTTAACAAGTTTAAGTGTTTGTAAATTTATTAGTGTTGACAAATACACACTTTTTAAATACTTTTTAAATAATTTTATAAAGGCAAGCAATGCAATAGATTAGCGTAATTAGGGCACCTGATGATGGCACTATGTTGCCGAAACATGTCGTGAAGTAACAGGTGAAATTGAGTGCACTACAAGACGGCAACTGTATACATATCATGGATGAAAATCAGTGCAACAGGACGCTAAAATACAACAAGATGTCACAGATTAGGGTTACATACTTCCGCTTTGCGCGGCGGTGTAGCTTGGTAAGTGACGTACCAAGGTGTCGGAGGAATCTGCTGCCTCCATCTTCAAAGCATAATTTGTATCCTAAAGAAGGGGACATCAAGTTCTTCCTAATAATTGCTACCCATCCATCAAACAATGCGGCAGCATTGTATTGTATTTTATTGGAGAGGGTGGGTTTCCCCATGCACTTAGACCAACTGTTGGTCCATTGTGTGTCCCCCTATGATATTCTACCAGTCTCTATTCCCTACCGGTACTGGTGCGTGCCATCAGTCCCGACTCAGCCAGCGAGTTCGGCCTCTACTGGCTCAGCGGTATCTCGATGCTTCCCCCATCTACCAGAGGCGTTAGAGACTACTGTTGGGCGGGAAATGTCCTTGAATTTGGCTCAGTGGTCCCCTTGGGACATGAGGTTCTTTTACGTGCCCTAAAGCTACGACACGGGACCCGCGGCTTAAAGTCCCTCCCGGAGGACTTGTTCCCTGAATTTTCCCGCCCTTAAAAATTCCACGCCCTCCGCCGGGTTTGAACCCGCATACCTTGAGTCAAGAGGTGGGAACGTTACGCCTAGACTACGGAGTCCGCTTTATACGGCAGCATACTTCAAATTTTAATATTTGTCTCCTTGACGACATAAAATCTCGGAAGCTACAGATCTTAGTGTGGTCTACATTCTGTGTCATCTGCTCGTGATCGTACACTGGACAAACAAAATTATATTTTACTCTCCTGTAAAGTTAGGACTGTGCTGGGTCGATGTGAACCAATATAATTTGCAATAGTTTGCAATAGAAGTGAAATACGCGGATGATAAGAAGCCAACGATATGTTTCCAGTACATAAATGTTGTTAAAGGGCCGCAATTATTGCAGATAACATTCTTTCAGCGAAAGTGTAAGATTGACTTAGGATCCTCTGGAGTGAAGGCTTGGCGTTTTTAAGATATTACATAACTTGGAGATCTCTGATATATACTTATCACACCGTATTTAAAACTATTGATATCACGAAGGTCTGATAGGCTGAGTGGGATCGGACGTGAAGGCGAGAAATGCATAGGCCTACAGAATTTTGATATGAAGACCCATTGGATATAACCATTAGGACCGAGAAGATGGAAAGATAACATTAAGAAGACTTTGGTTAGTAGGCTGTAAGGTGATGTAAAAAAAGTTAAGTTAAAGCTCTTCTTGTACAGCCCGTGGAGGCCCATAGGGTTGTGAGACGTCGAGGCTCCCACATTTTCTATACAATTGGCTCACAGATGGCGGTAAGGTTGTCAGCCTTACACGCCGGCCACCCTTTACCAACAGAAAGATTCCTGGTACTCATTTCTCTTAGAGGCTGAGACGACCTCAGGGCGATAGTGCGGTTGGAAGGACAAGGTCAATTGAAGAATCCAATGACCTCATCGGGAATCGAACCGTGAGCATGTAAAATGAATATGCTTCAGGAAAGGATCCAGTGGTTTGCCTGGTTGAAGCTTTGAGGTCTACCAAGAAGTTAATTAATAGGTTAGTCAGTTAATCAATTAATCAGTCAGTCAGTTCACTGAACCCTGTAAGAGAGATGAGGTCTTTATTCTGGAGGTAGGAATCCAATTTTTAAAAACTACCGCGTCCTTTTAAGATCCTGTGGCAGAAAGAAGGGACTGTGGACGAACATCCAAAGTATTGATTGTGCCAGTGCGTACTGGGGTACATCGTCAGAACATCTCGTTCTCACTTTGATTGGGGGAACAGCAAGGATTGGTGTGAACAGTTCTGACGGCCGAATAGCAGCCACCGGACCAATGGCTCCCGCCTGCACCATCTTGCACCATCAGCACCATGAATGCAGGTCGGTGACCACATTAATTAAATAAGCACGAGGGGTGAGACAGGGCTAGGAATTAGGTAAACACCACATACTCCTACTTAATGTATGATTTGAGGTTCTCACAGCGGTGCTTATGAAGAGTTCTTTCTTCTAGGATATAATGTCATGTAGTCCGTTAAAAGTCAACAAATGTTTCGGAGGAACATATTATCGCCTTCTTCAGGGTCTAAGGATAATCCAAGAAAGAATACAGCGTGAAGCAGATAACAAGCATAGCTAGTTTATTGCTTAGCTTATTCTTCGACCATGAAGATAGTGGCGACATGTTCCTCTGAAATGTCGGTTGACTTTTAACGGACTACACGGCGTTATATCCTAGAACACATGCGCTTATTTCAACAGCGCTTCATTTTGAGGAAGCTACAATTATCATTCCCAGCAACGATATGTATAGGAACAAATTCGTGAGCTTACATTGTAATAACCCTTTTCCAGTATGTCTTGGACATTACGAGTACAATGGAATTATCCACTGTTCTGTAGTGTCTACCTAGTTCTGAACTGAAGCCTCTCTCTGATTGTGAGAAGACATTTCCACCCCTGGGCTGGGGCCAGCAGAACCACAACAACCTCCACGAGTGGAAGTATCTTGATAACGATATATTTCGTCTTACTTTTTAAGCGTTATTATATCAAGATGAATGAGATGCGCAGAGAAATACAGTGCGCATGAGCGAAGTAATTAAGACGCACATTTCGGTGGGATAATCTGAAGGGAAGAGAATATTCAAAAGATTTAGGCGTAGACTCGAGAATAATATTGTAAGGTGTATAGTTGGGCAACGGCACGATAAACAACTCGCGTAAGCGCACTCAACAATAGGACGAATGTTTATGGTTCGTTGCTAGGCAATAGCGCACCAATGGGTTTGCGAGATAGTTATCACGTGACTGGCTTTCTATGGGGTCCCGTGACGCGACTGTTGCTATGCAATGGTTCGGTAAACAAGTTTCAACAATAGAGGCTGTGTATTCTGCGTGGTCGTTGCGGAGGCTATATAACGACAGTCGAATACCTCCACCGTGACCCTGCGAGTCGTATGAGGCGATGAAAAAGGAAATCTCAAATCTGATACAGTAAAATATGGTTGGGAGTCCCAAGGGACTCGGACCCGAGAAAGACTGCGCTGGCAAGGGCCAGCAGCAAATACAAAAGACAGACCCCGTCCTATCATCAGAGAGGGCGCCCCACAGAAATAAGACCGTAACTGTCAAACGGTAATAAATAATATCTGGTCATTAGCCCAAGATGGGGCTCGACACCAAGACTTACTGACTGACTGATGGTCGTCGCAATGTGACTTTGACTTTGACTAATAGGTATTAATAAGAGACAAGCCCATCTTATCGTCAGAGAGGATGTTACACAAGGACTATAACCGCAAGAGTTCATTTGGAAAAAATCTCTGGACGTGGGCATCAAGGGGCCTGATGCCAAGACTAACCGATTGGCGGTAAGCCGCCTGTCGTAAAACGACTTTGACTTCGACTTAACAGGTTTCAGTCTTTTTAGTGACAATGACAAAGTGGGGAGTCCAGGAGAGCTCAGCAGTTGAGAGTACAAGGACGAGATTGGAGCATGTGATTTGAAGACGTTAATTATATGTGTGACTCAGTGAGACTGTGCTAGTTTCTGTGTTGAGATCCGTTGCTAGGAGACGACTAGTGAAGACGGAGAATCTTAGCGCGTGTACAACGGAGAAATAGAAAGTGTGTAAACCAGTGATAGCGCTGTATTTCTTATATTTAAGTGTGATTAAAAGATGTTGTAACCAAAATGCTAATAAATCCAATCATCCGAACTAGACCCCGTCATTTTCGTCACACGTACCACCCTACACGAGACAATATTAAAATGAGTCTTATGGAAACAGAATGTTAAGACGTGGGCTGGGTTTTAACTTACTGGGAATAGCTTCCAGTATCAAGTTATTATAAGCGCGGTGAAGAACACCGAGTTGCACAACAACAGGGAATTTCTTTACTGCCTGTGGAATTGCTTAAGGAAACCCCTGTAGAGCGTAGTTAGAGATGTCCTAACAGAGGTATCACTAGTTGTTTTATGGCGCATATTTCACAAAAACAAAAGATTCTTTTATGCTTATCTGGAACGCCTCTTTATAGCTTCAATTACATCACTTTATTGTTAATAATGTTTAATTCTTTTCGGAGTAAGCGAGTTCTTTGTGATTTGACAGCTCTGTGCCTGACACTTGCAGCAAATACAACGTTACTATTAGCGCTAGTAGCAATCAGCTGCATGTTCTTTCCTCATTTTTGTTAAACTACACCATATAAAGAAGCAGAGTCCTGTTGGGAATTGTGAATCCTTCGGAACAGGATGAATAAGAGCGATTTGGGTTCATCTGGCACAGGATAGAATCCAGTGGCGGGTTCTTGCGAACATGATGATGAATCTCCCGGTTCCATAAAAGGCAGGGAATTTCTTGACAGACTCGGCAACTGTTAGCTTCTTAACAAGAGCCCGACTTCACATTTGGTATGAGAAATATCATTAGAGAATTGCAGGTTAGGAAATTAAATGTTCATTCTTTTGTCGGCTTGCTGGCAGTCTTCATGTTGTTGAAACATGCATCAATCTGTACCTTCTGTAATTATATGAAATTGCAATAACTTTGAATAACATATTATGTACATTTTTGTTTGCAGTCAGTCCTGTATCAGATATAATATTAGAAAGAATATCCTCCTTTATACAGTGAACGAGATCCCAAACTGTGTTCTTGGCAGCTTATGAAGCTCGCTAGAGGCCGGTTTATAAACGGAATTTCAGAAAAAAATTATTAGATAAGAAGAGAAAAAAATGGATGTTATAGCAGCATAATAAGATAAAATGTAGAATGAATATAAATGCTTTAATATGTATATAAATATTATATTTATGGCTTAACTTTGTATTTGGTCAATATGACTAAAAATCGTAAGGAGCAACTAATAGTATTATGCAAAGGCCTGTTATATCATTTTCATCAAATTGCGAATAGCATTTTTGATACAGATAAAGTCACCAATTTTATGGGCTTATGTGTGTGGGGACCGCCTCTGTGGTCTAGTTGACAGAGTTTCTGGCTACAGATCTAGAGGTGCGGGTTCGATTATCGGCGCTACCAGATTTTCTGAGAAGTAGTGAGTCTGGAAAGGGGTCGACTCAGCCTCGTGAGGATAATCGAGGAACTACGTATTTAAAGAAAATATGGGCTCCGGTCTGGAAAACCGAAATTAACGGCCGTGGGGACCCGTTGCGCTGACCACGCGACACCCTCTATCCACAAAAGTTGGTACTAACTTCGCCGGCAAGAGGCGGTCGCTCGGTCGGTTTTGTTCACCTGCGGACTAAAAGTACGGTTTTTTCTTTTGTTTATGTGAGTTTGTGGGTTGGCTTATGACGCTCTCAGTAGCTAGATTACATAGATTTGGAAGGTAGGATAATTAACAAATCATGAATTGGGTATTATTTGGAAATAACCACTCGTGGCCTAATCTAGGCACTCACCAGGCATTTGCCTGGGGGAGCTGAATAAATCACAACATCCTCAGTCATAACGTCCGACGTTCCATGGAAGATCTGAAGCGAGTATCTCCAAAATACAATTCTAAATCCCCCAAGTATGAAGCGTTACCATCAGACCAACGTGTCTGATAATGTACGTTGTGTACACAGGCTATTTGCCGATCGTAAAGCTATCCCTATAACGGTCATGGAGGCCCATAGGATTGTGAGACGTCGAGGTTCCCACATTATCTAGATAACCGGCTCACTGATGGCGGTGAGGTCGTCAGCCTTACGTACTGGCCACTCTTTATCAAAAGAAAGATTACTGATACTCATTTATGTTAGAGACTGAGTCAACCCCAGGGCCATAGTGCGGCTGGAATTGTTATTTCAATTGAAAATTGAATGACCACATCGGGAATAGAAGCCGCCACCTTCCGGCTTGTAGCATAGTGTCTCAACGAACTACGCTACCGTGTGCCCCATATTTGCAGTTGGCAATCACTGCAATATAATAAAAGACGTTAAGTTGTGTTGTTATTGTAATTAACTACACGAAAACTATAACACTGTCATTATTTCCACACTTTACAAAACCACACTGTCTTTTCCAGCTAGCGGTATATTCACTAGTAGTTGCCTGGTAACGGCTTCTAACAATAACTAGTCCTCTGCTTCCGGGCTCAAGTCCACTCCGAACGGTGAATCCCTTCAAACTGAACAATTCTGAGAGAGAGTCAGAGTTACTTTACGACTGGCGGTTTACCGCCAATCAGTTCTTCTTGACGACAAGCCCCTTGAGATTCAAGACCGGATTTCTCTTTACTGAACACTTGCTTTCATAGTCCTTACGTAACATCCTCTCTGGCGAGAAGATGGGTCTGTCGTTTATAATTGCTGCTGGCCCTCGCCAGCGCTGTCATTTTCAGGTGAGAGTCTCGCAGTTGTCATGACCACATTTCACTGTCTCAGGTTCGAAACTCCAACAGCCTGGAGGGCCAGGTCCCCGTTATACCCCAGGCAGTGGGCTCCTTTTCCGTCGCCTCCTACGACTCGCAGGGCTACGGGGAAGTTATTCAACCCCTCCTCCACATAGGATAACTAATCTGTCAATAGCCAGAGTCAGAATTACTATACTACTGGCAGTTTACCGCCTACCAGTTCGTCTTGGCGCCAAACTCTTGAGACTCACTACCAATTTTTTTTTTCAACTGAACCCTTGCGGTAATATTCCTTATGCAACATTCTCTTTGACGAGAAAATGGGTTTGTCTCTCTTCTGTCAAAGTCAAAGTCAAAGTCAAAGTCACATTACGACTGACGGTCAGTCAGTCAGTAAGTCTTGGTGTCGAGCCCCATCTGAGGCTCATGACCAGATATTTATTACTGTTTGGCATTTACGGTCTTGTTTTTGTGGGGCGCCCTCTCTGACGAGAGGACGGGTCTGC